TGCCGGGCGGATTGTGATATTGAGCCTGTGACCATGCCGGACGGATTGTGATATTGAGCCTATGACCATGCCGGGAGATTATTATTGTGAGCCTTAGACCACGCCTAACGGATTGTGATTGTGAGCCTGTGATCATGCCGGGCGAATTCAGATATTGGAATGTGATTTATTCGTACGGTTGTGATTAGAAATGCGGGCACAAGGTGTTATGAGCATATGATTAGTGGGTTGAGATTCGTGACTTGTGACTATGAGATGAGGTATCTCGGAGTAAATTCGTTGCGAAACTTGTGCTAGAACAGCTTGATTTAATTGGTTGTTATTTGTTTTCCCTTATTTGGTCTCTATGGTACTTTCACGATGTTCATATTACTTTACTTATTATATCATCGGTTGATTTTTGTTGCCATTTACTGATTCCTGCTTTCATTATTAGCTTTATACTTCTATTCTGCACAAGTTATTTTGATTAGTAGGTGTCTTGACTTGTATCTCGTCACTACTCCACCGAGGTTAGTCTTGATACTTACTGGGTACCAACTGTGGTGTACTCGTACTACACTTCTGTATATTTTTGTGCGGATCCAGGTATTGAAGATATCTGACTCAGGCAGAGTTAGCTTATTGATCACGAGGATTCAAGGTAGAAGTGCTTTGGTCGTCACAGTCTCTTGGAGTCCTTTCTTTTCATTGTACTGTCAGCTTGTTATTTGAACAGTATTGTATTTCGATATTTGAGATCTTTCCATGTATTCAGCTAGAGTTCGTGACTCTGTATTACCTAGTCTTGGGAGGTTGTTATGATTATTGTCGTGTAGGCTTATTACTCTTTTGTTTCGGTATTCATATTAAACTATGTTTTAAATTAGCATTGTTAAAACTGGCTTAATCATTGTAAGTAATCGGCTTACCTAGTCTTAGAGACTAGGTGCCATCACGACGCCTGTGGTGGAATTTTGGGTCATGACAATATGGATGCTATCACATTAGTGCAATATTTTGGAAAACCTGATCTTTTTATAACTATGACATGTAATCCATCTTGGCCAGAAATAAGACAACACTTGTTATCAACTGACGAAACTCAAAATAAACCTGATTTAATATCACGAGTATTCAGAGCAAAAGTAAAGAAATGAAAAACGATATTTTGAAAAGAAAAATCTTTGGGAAAGTTGTTGCTTTTATGTATACTAATGAATTTCAAAAACGTGGTCTTCCACATTCTCATTTTCTTATCATAGTTAAAGATGAATATAAATTATTAACACCTGAATCTTACGATAAGTTTGTTTGTTCTGATATACCGAAAAGCATCTTGATTCACGTGTTCTTCAACATATGATGCGCTTCAACATATCATGCATGGACCATGTGGTGATTTTAATCCTACAAATTCATGTATGGAAATAAAAGGCCTCTATAAATTCAACTATCCGAAAGATTTTGTTGAGCAGACATCTAAAGGAAAAAATTCATAGGAAACCTTGTACACGTAAGGGAACAATATTTGGATAATTCATGGGTCATCCCATAAAACCCTTACTTGCTTTGTAAGTTTGATTGTCATATAAATGTTGAGGTTTGTTCGGATATTAAAGTTGTGAATTATATTTATAAATGTATTTGCAAAGGACATGATAAAATAGTTTTTTCTGTACATGGTAATGAAGAAATAGATGAAATAAAAAAATATTGATCTTCTAGATGGGTGACACCTCTAGAAGCGGCATGGCGTTTATTTGGTTTTCCTATTAGTGAAATGAATCCAAGTGTCTATCATCTTCAGTTACATTTAGAAGGGCAATAATTTATTTCTTTTAGAAGTACTGAAAGTGTGAATAGAATCTTAAACAATCCAATGATTAGAAAAACAATGTTAACTGAGTTTTTTGCAATGAATAGCACGGATGAATATGCTAAAGATATGCAATTATTATATAAGGAATTTCCAGAATATTTTGTATGGTCTTCAGAATATAAAATGTGAACACATCGGCAAAAATGTAATGTAATTGGACGTGTTGTGATATGTCATCCAATGAAAGGAGAAAGATATTATCTACGGTTACTATTGATAAATGTGAGAGGACCAAAATCATATGAAGATTTTCGCACTGTTAATGAGGTACCCTGTAGTACATTTAGAGAACCTGCAGAAAAAAAAGGATTGTTATATTGTAACAATAGTCTAATTGAATGTATGTTAGAGGTTGTAAGCTATCAGATGTTGTATAGTTTGAGACGTTTATTTGCTACGTTGTTAGTATATTGCAGCCCTGCTAATCCAAAATAATTATGGCAAATGTTTGAAGATTCAATGTCCGAAAACTTTAAGTATTTCCCGAGTATCGCAGCACGAAGTGTTCGGCATAATGTCTTAAGCCATATCAACAATGTCTTGCATTCTATGGGCCATGACATAAATGAGTATAAGCTTGTTCGAAAAAATATTAGACCTTCTGTAACTGCAAAAGATGTTCATTTTGAAAGAAACATAATTGTTAGTGAAGAAGACTTGCTTTTACCAAGGAGATTGATAAATTGTTAGTGAAGAAGACTTGCTTTTACCAAGGAGATTGAATGTTGAACAATTATCGTCATATAACACAATAATTGATAGAATATCTTCTTAGCGATCAGGAGCTTTATTTATTGATGGTCCCGGAGGAATCGATAAAACTTTCTTATATCGTTCATTATTAGCAACTATCAGGTCTCAAAGATTCGTAGCCCTAGCAACTACAACTTCTAGTGTAGCAGCTTCTGTCTTTCCAGGAGGGCGGACTGTTCACTCACGTTTCAAAATGCCAATAGACATAAATGATAATTTCTGCTGCAATATTAGTAAATAAAGTTCACTCACAACCTTGATTCAAGATGCAAAACTAATTGTATGGGACGAAGCGTCAATGGCAAAAAAAATGATTGAAGCTCTTGATGTACTTCTCAGAGATATTAAGGATGTGAATAAACTATTCGGAGGTAAAGTTGTTGTATTTGGGGTCGACTTTAGACAGACTCTTTCAGTTGTTCGAAACGGAAAAAAAATAAGATTTTATTCATGAAAGCTTGTTATATTCTAATATTTGGAATGAACTTGAGAAATTGCATTTCTCTGAAAATATGCGCGCAAGAACGGATCCATCTTTTGTGAATATTTACTTAGTATTGGAAATGGAAAAGAAACAACTAACTGCGAAAATAAATTTGAAATTCCTGATTTTTTTGTTATTCTTTTCACTAAGAATCTTTAGATGCATTATTTAATATAACCTATTCTGATTTACATGCATTTTTCTCTGATTTATCTGGACAGGAGTGGGTTGCTCTAGTGGTGAGTACCCTCCACTTCCAACCAAGAGGTTGTGAGTTCAAGTCACCCCAAGAGTAAGGTGGGGAGTTCTTGGAGGGAGAGGGCCGAGGGTCTATCGGAAACAGCCTCTCTACCCCAGGATAGGGGTAAGGTCTGCGTACACACTACCCTCCCCAGACCCCATTAGTGGGATTATACTGGGTTGTTGTTGTTTCTCTGATTTATTTGTGATTACTTCTCGTGTTATTTTAACACTGAAGAATGACTTTGTAAATGAAATAAATAACATTTTAATCATTAAATTCCCAGAAAGGGTCACAATATTTGTTGCAATTGATGAAACTATTGAACCAAAAGATCAAAGTCAATTTGAAGATTTTCTACATAGTTTAGATCCTCCTAGTCTACCTCCTTATAAGTTAAATTTGAAGGAAAATTGTCTAGTTATATTGTTACGAAATTTGAATCCTTGTGAAGGTTTATGCAATGGTACATGATTTACACGTTGTAACTTTAGAACACATGTCATAAATGCTAAAATCGAAAGCGGTAACTTTTAAAATATACATGTGTTTATTCCGAGAATACCATTGTTAACATCATAAGATGAGAACATACCTGTTCAGTTTAAGAGAATACAATTTCCTTTAAGATTGTGGTTTGCTATGACGATAAATAAAGCTCAAGGTCAAACATTAAATTTTGTTGGAATTTATTTACGTGAACTTGTTTTTTCACATGGTCAACTTTATGTTGCTTTATCAAGGGCCAAAAGTTCAAAATGTGTCAAAGTACTGATTCGTCCACCTACAACAGACGTCAATGATGACCATTCAACATATAATGTATTGTATGATGAAGTTATTCAAAAAGCCTTCTCCCGCTTTTCTTTCTTTCATCTTCCTAATTCCTCAAGTAAGCTTCATGCCAGGCTGACTAAAAAAAATTAAAATAGTATTTAAGCATATATAATGTTAGAATAATAAAATATTGAGCATAGTAGAAAGTTAATTAGAATAATTTATTCATAATAATAATTTTGATATTAACAAAAAAAACTCATATATTTATTTACACAATAGAGAATGAAAGAAAATAAAAGTTTTAAAATATATATTCCATGCACGTACTATAAAAAATAATTATTTAAAATAAAGGTATTTTTGTAATATACATTATATATTCTTGAATATTATGCCCAATTATATTATTATTTCGACATTATATATGCTAGAAAAATATCATTTTATTTTTTATTTTTAAATAAAATATTTTGTTCTATGGGTAAGTCTAAATGTTGATTAAAAAGAAAAAAAAATTATAATATTAAAAAAGCAAAAATAAAAAGATAAAAGTTGATAATTTAGAGGGTAAAATAGATATTTGGCTATCAAATGTTTGATAAATCTGGTTGAGTGACCTTCTGAGTGTTATAGGCATAACTAAGTGACTTTGTTGTTAGAAACGAAAGACATAATTTTGAAAAGTCGAGAACCATACTAGTAATGGACTCTGGAATTGCTTGTCTCTACAATATCGTAAAGCTCGCTCTGCTGCGAACAAACGACAATGTTGCTTTGGGAGTCTCAAACTTGCAACAGTATGCCTCTATTCCTCATATTCTCAACTTACTCACAATCTTACTGGAAAAGGCGCGACTAATATATGTCTGCTTTACATTATATTTTGTTTGAATTGTCACTTCACAGATCACAAATATCTTCATCTTTATCGATATATCTTTAACACCAGGTAATTCTTTGGTATGCCTGCTCTGCCAATTGAACCTTTTGGGAATATCAACATAGGTAAATTACTAATTCTAAAATTTCTATAATCCTTTTCCAATTAATTTCTGGTAATATTTTTATAATGTAGAGCTTTCAAGTGGTGATTCTCTTTGTTGTGTGCAAATTTAGTAGATGGGTGTTTAGCTGTAGCGTTGCAATGTAAGTCATGCTATCGGGTTACTAATTACCTTTAAGTTCTGTATATTGAGATTTCTCATTTGGCAATTATAAAGGCGCTCTTTTGCTTTCGTTGTTATTCCCTTATCATCCTTTCTACTATTAATATTTCAGAATTCGTTTGTGTTCGACTGCTTTTTTTATTCAATTTGCTTCTTCATATAAGATCGAGGTCAGTCGAGTACTACTGTGCGTTCTTATCAGAAAAGAGCTTCAATTTTAGGACCAAAATCTTACCTCTATGCATAAATCTACACAATAACCTCGGCTTGAAAATAGTTCCTTCAGTTTGAAATTAACTTTCAAACTTATATCACTATAATGTTCATTTCACAAAATAACCTGATAACAAATCTCTGTCATTAACCTCGAAGCTACTTAAATTAAAACAAACAAAAAAAGATATTGATCATTAACACTAGACTCAATGGCTTAGTGAATCGCGTTTCTCACTCCTTATAATCTTGGTGAATAAGACTACACCCAAAGCAACCCTTATTTATATGCATTATGCTCAAGTTATTTATTCCATACATATTCCTGGTTTGTCAACATCCCCTATTTAGACAGTGATAAAGGTGTAAAAACTTGTTATCTTGAGAAATTTTTCATCTTATTTACACGCAAAAACATGCTAATATTAACATTCTATATTATTTATCAACAATATAAGGAAATGTGTTGGCATTGCGTCTTGATAAGCTGAAAAAACAATCACTTACCTGTATGGCAATTGGCACTGCCCTGCTGCTATTTGTTTGCCCTAAGCTTCTGAGTGAGAACTTGAATCATTCACTAATAGTTTAAACTTAGTTGCCAATTGTTGTGCTGATGCAATTAAAAAAAGATTATCAAATCAAAATTTATATGTGCTAAAAGGAAAGGTGAAGTTTAATATAACTATACATGTCTGTGCTAAAAGGAAAGGTAAATTAAAGGTACATGTACAGCAAAAAGCATGTGAAACAAGAATAAAGACATTTTTCCCCCTATGGGGAAACAAGCAATTCAATTTGCTTCAAGCTTTCAACTAAGGTATATTCGTCCTTTATCTCATTTTTACATGATCCAAATCTGCAACCGCCATCAAATACTTATACAACAAGTTTAACTCAACACTAAGACAATTCCACAGTAAATGTTACGATAAGAATAAGAAAGTAACACAACGAATTGAATAAGAGTTTGAAACACTCATAGAAACAAAAAAGTGATTGCTTTTCCAATAATTATATCTTTTGGATTTTGGCAATATATGCCTTTGATTCATGTATTTAGTACCAGCAACCCTGCTGTAATTTTCTACATCCTTGAAGTTGTACACTGGAAACTACTTGATATATATAATCTAATACATATTTGGTTAAAGTTTTACTAATATTTTATTCCTTTTGATTATTTTGTCCAACTTACCGATTGTTTTTATCTAATTAGGTAATTGCTCTTTTTTCTTAGCATTGCAGTTATAACTTCTTTTTCACTACTGCATTTTAGTTCCTCATAAGTAAATTACTACAATTGAGACTGAAATCGTCATATTTGGAATTTATGATCGCAGACTTGCTAAACATAGAATTCATAAACTTGATAACTTAAAAGAGTCAATGTTGACTTTGTGAGCTTGCAATTTTATTGAGATATCATCATCGTCAAATTTCAATCGGTAAGCCTTCACAAAAAATATAAAACCTATTGAGTATATCACCTGGTGCTGTTGGAAAGCCATATGACTTAGGCCTTTATTCACGTTGGGCCCGGGCTACTAGTAACAAGGATAGAAGTAGAATACAGCTTCTGAGCTAATATACGTTAAATACAATCCGTCAATTTGCACTAATAACAACGCCGCACACAACCCCAAACTAATTTAAGATCTCATTCCATTCAAAACATCACATAACTTAACCCGTTAAGATGCATATCAGAATTGCTCAATTTTTCGTTACAAAGCTAATTTGGAAAATTAATGTAAATTAAGGACAAATTCAAATTTTCTATAAAATCCCACTACCAACTCCAAAGTTATACAGGTTTTCTCTGGATGCCTTTGGAAATGCAACAGCCTAGAGCCCAAGACATTCATTCAGATGACTCTTTTTGCATTATTAAGCACGTTTTATGTGCAAATAGCTTGCACCTTTTCCACCCAAGAAATTAAGATTCAACAAAGCACAGTGTTCTGACTTGAAAAAAAGGTATTGAGAAACTAGAAATTTGGACGTAACAAACTCCAGTTAAGCAGGACGTTCATAATAAGATGTCCAACTGCTACTCATTACATAGTGAAAACTAAAATTTACCGATTGCATATCTTTCTGGCTTCTGTATCTCCAAATTCCAATTAGTTTTTCCTTCGTCAGGCCTGCATTTTAACAAAATCAATTAAGTTGAGATCACATAAGCACCATCATATAGTAATATACATCCTGAGATCATGAATGTGACCAATGCGGAATTTGCAAATATTTCACTGCTACTGGAATTCAAGAAGCCCCAGCTTAACAACGCATGGAGTAGAGCATAAAAAACAACTAAAGATCGGGCAAGGCTAAATGGCAGATATCACCAAGATTTTCATGTATCATGCTTGAGGAAAAAAAACATTAGAGATGGACAAATTGCATGTGGTTATCTATCTTCCTATTTAGCTATAATTATTGTCTGGTGAGGAGAGATGACAAAAATCTTCTTTTTTTTCTTTTTCATTTTATTCTCTTTAGGGGTGGGATGGGATTGGAATTGGCACCCATGAGAACCAATGTGAACAAGAAACCGCACAAACAGAGAGAAACAAACCAAAGCATAAAATATAAATTCAGATATTATGATTTATGACTGGAAATATAAATTCAACATCACTAATAGAACATACTACCCTGAATCTAGAAGAAAATATAAATTCCATTTATGACGGGAAACCAGTGACAGACTGAGACCTTCTTAACAGAAAAAAATGAAATGAATATTACAGCTTCCAGGATGATCACATTTCTCTATCTTCTTCCATGCAACATCACATGAAATGGTACTTCTCTCAGCAACTTATAATTAAAACATATGATGTATGTTGTGGAGCCATCAAAACTGAAGGCTAGGCAGCCATTGGACAAGCATTTTGCATAAGAATTTCATCAATTGGTTCACATAAAATATCAATTCAGATATTACCTAAGTTGCTCCGACACGGCAATTTAGGTGCCGCACCCGTGTCGACACGACACTAGTATGGTGTGGGTGTGGGATCCGTACCGGATCTGGTTAAACAAATGATGGAATGGAAAACTTCCAGACGAGATACAATTTGATTCCCGAAATTAGAACCAAAATAAGGGTAAATTGGAAGAAAATAGCATAGCTTATCTAGAAAATCAATCATTTACTTATCTACAACTTGAGAATAAAAAAGAAATCCATACTTTACAGGCTATACGTAAGTGTTTCATAAAATTTCTCATAATTTAGAGATTTTTTTATTTTTTTGAATTATTTTTAGCCGGATCCCCGCACCCGTATCCATACTACGATCCATATCCCCGAATCTTAGAATTTACATCCCGTAGGATCCAACCTCCAGATCCGTACCCGTGTCGGGTACCCGCACCCGTGTCCGAACAACTTAGGATATTACATGCTTTTTCTACATCACATTTCATATACCTCGATACAGAACAATTCCTTTTTTCTAATAATGACCTCCTTACAGACCAACAATGGATACAATTGCTGAATTTACAACCAAAGGCGCAAAGTAAAATATGCTTTCACCCGCGAGTCCTATTGACAATAAACAAAGAAGAAGAAGATAGGTAACATTTTTCTTCCTAGGAAAAGTTCATCTAAGATAAATTCGGAAACGTAGTCTTCACACAGCCTCCAACCACCCACTATTTGACAATCAATCAATCAATTATATCTCAATTCAAAACTAGCTGGATTGGCTATATGAATCCTTTATATCCCCTTCTAAATGTTGCCATAAAACAAGGGCCTCACCTCCTTTTAGGGGCAAAAGAAATTCTAAATTTTATTCATTAGACAAAGCTCTTCGCAGCAGTTGAATGATTATGTGCAGCCTTTAACAAAAATCCTACTTTAATATAATCCAGAATGCATCTCTAAACATGTGTATGAAGACATATAAAATCAGTGAATGCATGTTCTCGAGAAATCAAATTCATGCAACACAATTCAATAAACAACCATTTCAAAATAGAATTTATTATTTAGCCCATAATAAACGAGAGATCCAGCAATAATTACAAGATTTATCAACCAAATTCCATAAGAAAAAGTGTCCAAATCCAAAAACGATTACCAGTTAAGAAGCACCAACGATGATGTTGTTGATAGGAATAAAAATCAACTTGACGAAAAATCCAACAAACCCCATGACGACGAAACCGATGGCAGTACGAGTCGCAACCTTAGTGAATTCTGCACCAAATAATCAAAGAAGTTCAGGAAACGGGCATATAGAAATAGAACGATACCTAGAAAAAAAAATAGTACCTTTGCGATCAGGCTTGTGACATCTTTTGACAAGTCTAACGCTGTCTTTGGCGAAATCTCTAAGAGGATCGAAAACAGAGTCCAAAGCGTCCATTTTAGCGCTGAAAGGAGAAGAAAGGGAGGTAGGAGAAGAAGAGTAGTGCCTTTTGGTGGATCTGGTTTGAGGAGAAAGGGGTTTTGGATTTGAAATATAAAAATGAAGGAATGTGATTGGTGAGGTGACAGCTGAGTGACGCTAGCTGAATTCCCTAAACTACCCACTTCTTTCTTTCCACATCCATTTTCTTTTCTTTCAAATTTGTTTTTTTTTTCTTTCTTATGCTTGTTTCTAAAAAATTTGTTAACTGTGAGTAAAAAGAACCTGTCTCTGAAAGCAGTTAGAATTAGTATTACATTTGAATTTGTGCATTTCAATGACAGCAAAATAGAATAAAACTGAAATAGAGGTAAAAGATATTTAGGGAAGAGTATAAATATTTCTTGTTCAAGTGTAACTATTTAAAAGGTGAAGAACATTTTTTATAGTGTGTAAGAATCATTCAAAAGTTACAACTCTTTAATAAAATATTGAATAAGTAAATAAATTCATCAAATGAAATGTATAGAAGATTTGAACTGATATCCATATTAATTTATCTTATTCATAACACTCGTTCATTTTGAAAATAATGTACCCCTTTTTTTTCCTCTTCAATGATCTGGAATTTCTATGAGGAGCTCTGTTCAAGAGGACCTTTTTTGTATCCATTTCGCGGATTAGTTGAACCGTTATTAGAAAAAAAAACCAGTGAGAAAAAGTATAGGTAATAATATAAAGCACACGTTTTGTAATACACATATAGAGATGCCTCACTAAAAACCTTGTCGTGAAATCCAATTAGGACAAAATCTTGATTAAGAAAAATTTAGTACATTGCATATTTATTATCCCTAATGAAAATATTGTATGATATCCCGAAGACGCATATTCCAATCTTGTAGATCAACTTCTCAAATTTTGATGTTGCGATGCCTTAGTGAACATATTTGTGAAATTTATTACTTGAATAAACATTTTGAACATCTATCTCACTATTCCGTAGAAAACTGTGCGTGAATTTTTTTTTTGGTAAAATGTGTTTAGTTCTATCTCCTTTGATGTATCCTCCTTTCAGTTGAGCTAGGCAAGTAACATTAATTCCAAACAATATTGTTGGAATTTTGTCTCAAAGAAAGATCACACAATTACTGAATGCGTTGAGTTAGCTTAATGAATGACTATTATTATCTCTGCATGATTTAAGATATAGTAGTAATAGTTTATTGTGTTAAGCGTTATGATATAACTGTACCCCAACAAGTAAGATTCATTAAAATAAAAATTCTCTTATTGACAATAGGCTAGGCGCACGGTTTTTTTGTTATTTGCCTCTTAATTGATGTACTTTAATTGTGTTTGAACATGAATATTTTATACTTATTATGTGGTTCATATTGTGTAAGACTTGATTCTGAGCTAAGAAGCATCTTTTGAGTTAAAGTAGACACTTTAAAATTTCAAAGTCTGAGTAGAAGTTTAAGAAATTCAACCGGAATAGAGTTCGAGGTTCAAGGGTTAAGCCTACCTAAAAAAATTAAGATAAAATATTGAAGTAGAAAAAAATAACTTATTGCAATGTGATGTGCGACGCGTAAGACATCACAGTCGGCCAAAATCTTGGCGGTATGAAGAAAAGCAATCTCCTCCTACTGCATCGCATGGGGCGACGTGCATCATATTATAGTAGTACATTTCAAGCCAGATTTTTTGTTTAGTCTCATTAAGGATAGTTTGATCCGAGATTTTGTACACGGTATAAATACATCAAAAATATGATTTTAAAGGTACCTTTGACCTACAGGGGATTAAGAGAGCGGCGAAGGCTCGGAGACACAATTTTGAAGGTACTTTTTTCACATATAATCAATTTAATATGCAAATTCGGGTTCAAAGTTGGTTGTAATATTTTTGGGTGGCATCTCACCGTTGTTGAATGTACGGAGTGATAAGGGTGGCTATTTGTGTTATATGTGCTTGAATTCGTTAAGAAGTTTTGTCACGACCCAAAAATCCACCGCAGGCGTCGTGATGACACCTAGTCTAAGCCAGTTTTAACGATGATAATTTAAAACATAGTTTAATATAAATATCGAAACAAAAGCGGAATAAGCCTACGCGGCAATAATCATAACAACCTCCCAAGACTGGTAATACAGAGTCACGAACTCTAGCTAAGTACATGGAAAGATGTCGAAGATCAAAATACAATATTGATCAAATGACAAACTGACAGTACAATATAAGGAAAGGACTCCAAGGGACTGCGACGACCGAGCAGCTCTACCTTGAATCCTCGCGATCAACAAGCTAACTCTGGCCGAGTTTGATATCTCCAATACCTGGCTTTACACAAAAATGTACAGAAGTGTAGTATGAGTGTGCCACGATTGGTACCCAGTAAGTATCAAGCTAACCTCGGTGGAGTAGCGACAAGGTACAAGTCAAGACACTCACTAGACAAAATAACATGTGCAGTATAGAAGTATAAAGCTAACAATAAAAAGCAGAAATCGGTAATTGGCAACAAAACCAACATGTGATATAAACAGTAAAGCAATAAGAACATCGTGAAAATACCATTGAAACCAAATAAGGAGCACAAATGACAATCAATTAATCAACTCGTTCTAACACAAGTCTCGCAACAAAAATTCCCTGAGAGACCTCATCTCATAGTCACAAGTCACGGGTCTTAACCGACTATCATATGCTCATGGAACTTTGTGCCCATATTTCAAATCACAACCGCATGGACAAATCATGTGTCAATACCTCAATCCGTCCGACATGATCATAAGCTCACATCTACAATCTGCCCAGCATGATCATATGCTCATAATTACAATCCGTCCGGCATGGTCACAGGCTCAATATCACCATCTGCCTGGCATGATCACAGGCTCAATATCAACATGGAAACATATAATACAAGAACACATGTGCATGATCAATAAATGTCGAGTTTCTTACTCCCGAGCTAGTATAAGTAACATGCTACGATGTATGCTTGAGTAGCTCATCGAAACAGCATAACAAATCACGTAAGGTGTATGACACACACAAGGAAAAGCACACCATCATACAAAAATCAGCAACACAATGTCCCAAGCCATCACACATTATCCCTGACATTCCCAGGTGAGATGCCACCCTTATGCCCTGCATAACAACAACCAACCCACACAACAATTCACAAATGCTAACATCACAACAACACGGCATATCAACTCGTACCACAAGAGCCCGTAGGCCACAACCTCTCCAAAGATCCAACAATATCAATATTTCCACAACAAATAGCCCACGGCTTAAACACGATATATATAGAATCTCAATAACAACAAATGAATGGGAAAGTACTCAACAAGGAACATCACCCCCTTTAAACATAACTTCAGTTAAAATAGATTAATGACTTTCGATAACCTCCATTCCAATTAATTTGTTAAGGATAAACTTGATAGTGAATGTATTTCTATGAAATGGCAAGCTTCGTATTTTAGTGCACAAACAGGTTAACAATGAAAGAGATGACACGAACTAGTACTACGTCTAAATGCATGAGAACAACCCGGCAACAAAAGGACATCATGTGATAACAATTTCAACTAAGAGTAACTCCACAATAAAAGAAATCACATAATGATAAAAGTGATAACAACTCCAAATAAAGCATATAAGAGCAAACTCGATAAGTAAAGAATGTGAAATGTAACAACAACTTCAAATAAAGCATGTGATAGTAGACATGACGTATAAAAGATATAATATGAGCTAACAATTCCAAATAAGTACATGAAAGACGCCTAAGAGTCTAAACCGGTCAATTTTCACATATAAGACCCGAGTACGTACTCTAAAACCCTAAGGGGTAGTTCCCCCACACAAAGATAGGCAAGATACTTACCTCAAAGAAGCTAAACCGATACTCTAAAATGATCTTCTCGTGTGAAACAACCTCCGGACGGCCCAAATCTAGCCAAAATATCTTAATATCATAAATAAAAATCATAAAAAATAATTTCGAATAATAAAGCTTCGATCTTTAATGAAAATTTAAAAGTCAACCCCGGGCTCGCACCTCGGAACCCGACAAAATTCACATAATCCGAATACACATTCCGATACGAGTCCAACCATACCAAAATTATCCCATTCCAATATCAAATCGTCCTTCAAATCATCATTTTATATTTTTGAAAGATTTTACAAATATTCTCATTTTCTCCCATTCAAATCACTAATTTAATATTAAAAACAAAGACAGAATCACGAAATATAATCAAATCCGGATAAAGAATACTTACCCCAATCCAAATCGTGAAGAACCCCTCCAAATTTGCCCAAAACCGAGGTCTACAACTCAAGATACGATAAAAATGGCCAAACCCTAGAAATTTAAACATTCTGCCCAGCACTTCCTCTTTTGCGGACTCACAGTCTCATATGCGAAGCCACATCTGCGGAATATTCATCGCAGATGCGCAAACAACAAAAATTAAACTGACTGCACCTGCATCCAAGACACCGCAACTGCAAATAACCAAGTGCACCTGCATAGCCATTTTTGCGGCAAAACCTCCCCATCTGTGGGGTCTTCCAATCACGCTCAAAATCGCACATACGTATACACACTCGCACCAGCGGAGCCGCATCTGCGAGAGTAACATCGCAAATGCGCAAAACCTCAACTCCCCATCAGCTCACTTCTGCGCCTTCTTGTCCGCACCTGCAACCATCGCACCTGCGCCTAGTGGTCCGCATTTGCGATCACACCAGATCTCTGCCCAAACCAGTTTCACCCAACATGAACCAAATGATCTGAAACTCATCTGAAACACACCCGGGCCCCCCAGGACCCCGTCCGAACTTACCAACAAGTTTCATAACATCACGCGGACCTACTCGAGTCCTCAAATCATATCAAACAATATCAAAACTACGAATCACACCTCAAATTGAACTTAATGAACTTATGAACTTTGAACTTCTACAACTCGCGCCGAATCATATCAAATCAATCCGGAATAACCTCAAATTTTGTATGCAAGTCCCAAATGACATAACGGAGCTATTCCAACTCTCAAAATCACAATCCGA